ATGTTATTCTTATCCAGAAACACCCTCCCAGACTCACCTAGAATAATGTTTGATCAAATGCCTGAGCATCCCAAGGCCCTTGCAAGTTGACACATAAAATTAACCATCACAGCCCCTGTCTGTGGGTTGTTCATTGAATGAGCACTAGAAGAATTGGGCTCTGTGACTTTCTACTTGTTCTACCTCTGTTGCTGATTTCATTTCTGTTTGCCATATTTTTTCTTTAGATGGTCTAGCAGCCCTTTTCTCTCTTTAGGGTAACTCAAAAATTCTTCTTTCATCCATGTACATAGATTTTTAATTTTAGTTCAACTGTTTCTCCATCAATTCCCATAATTACGGGAAACATATTATCCATCCGTCCACACAGTATATTTTCCATGCGCTATAACAATATTACTTATGTTATTATATGATAAGAACAATAAGGGAAAAGATATATAGAAAACAGTGGAAGCAATACATGTGTGAAAACAGAAGTCCACTTCCTTAGTGGTAAATCAGTTCTATTAAAAATTTTTATTTCTATAAATTAGAACAGGTAAAATATATTTTTTCTATTGCTTCTATTTTGTTATTTTATTTTATTTTATTTTAATCACTCAAAGCAAATGTATTGTCCAGGGCGTTTGCACACACAGTTGCCTTTACCTGAACATTTTTTTTTCTTTGTTTCTCCAGATTAATTGAGATATAATCGACATATAACATTGTGTAAGTTTAAGATGTGGTGTACAGCATAATGTTTTGATATATGTATATACTGTGATATTACTTCTATTTTAATTAATTGTCTGTTTATCTTGTCTTTAAGTATTGAATTTTTTAAGCCAATTAAACCAGTCCTGACCTAACAACTCTCTTTTTTCTTCCTCTAATTTTAGAAGTCTTTTTATTTATTTTTAGTAAATTTTAAACTTTTATCATGCTTAGAAAGAGCTCTGGAATGAAACACACTCAGTAATGGCTCGTTCCAGACCACCAGTCTCCTTTGTTGTCTGCCTGCTTATCTGACCACTTGTTTTAGCTTTCTCTCCTGGTACTCTCTACCCAACTCCCTAAATATTCATGCCCTATAAGCATCTCTCTTTGGCTCTTAATCTCTTCTCATTCCATGATTCTCCTCGAATAACTAATCTACCCCTATGGCTTCAACCATGTGTGAGTCTGAGAAACAGAAGCTAAGACAGAAGAGAAAGTGGGAAGAGAGCCAGCTGAGGCTGGGAGAGCCATCAGACTGTGGTGCCATTCTGACTCTAAGTGAAGCAGAAAGGGAAGGAAAGTCAAAAGTAACCTAGACTGCTGTGCAATTCTTAGTGTTTGGCAAGGTCACTGAGAGTCCTCAAACCAAAGCCGCTTATCAGAGAAGTCCCATCTCCTTTCCATATCTATTCATTGCCAGAAGTCATTGCAGCCCCAGACTTAGAAAAGTGTTTGGAGATTTTACTGTGGTCATTACTCTAATTCCTGGACGGAGTTTGTGAAATTTTTTCCCAAACCAATAGATGGATGAGATAACAATACACCAACTTTGCACATTCGATTTAAGTATTATTTAGAATTATTTAAGGAGAAATAATTCACTCTTTGTGTCTTGCTCTTTAATTCTATAACTGAATCTATATTCCTAATTTTTCAAAGACATTTGATACACGTATCTGGAAGCTTACACTTCTCAATTTATTTGACTAATTTAACCTTAATTGTTTTTATAAATCAGTTATGTCACTTAGCATGACAACTTCTTTCTCCCCATAAAGTAGATCATTTTAATAATGTATAATAGTTATTGAGAATTTTAATTTAAAACTTATTATTTATGTTATATCTTTGCCGTAGCCTTGGGTAGAAGACAGGCAGCACTCTAAATTTATGACTACAAGATGTTACATGTAACTTCCTGAGTATAACTAGGTTGCCTAGAAAAAAAACGCTGCTTCTAGAATCACCTTATGTTAAAGCATCTTATGTTCAGGAGAAACTTGCTGAACAAATGTGACAATGTACTTCGTACTTACTTGTGCTACTACTTTACAAAATTTGGGCTCTAAGTGTCAGCCTAGCTACTGTAAACTGTCAATTTCACCATCAAGTCTCATAAACTTGGGAATCCAAACTTTCTTATAACTTACTGCATAAGTCTTACCCCAAACCTGTGCAGAGGTCAAAATCTCCCCTGTTAGCCGTAATGCCGAATCGTTTGCCCCTATCCTAAGAGTCAGGATCTCCTTTCAGCCGCTATGTCAGGCCACCACTTTCACCCTCAGGAGTGCCACCCTCCTGCTGGGTTCATCCTGGATCCTAATTCAGAGCAGGAGCAACCCAGTATAACGCAGAAAACCGTAGCAGCAAGAGAAAAAAAAATTGATCTCCTGCCCTACAGTGCCCTAATGTTGCTCAGTAAGGTTTTCTTCAAGATAGAACTTGAAGCCTATTTCAAGTGGATGGGTTGGGTAAGATTAACATGACAAGTGACCCAATATTCTCTCTGTCCTTTTTAATAGTTGCTTACCCTTGTGGAGAGGGAGAGATTTTTCTCCACCTTTCTAGGCTCTGTCAGCTGGTCTAATAATTAAATTGACATGAGATAGATTAACAAAAGCAAATAATCTAATTTAATTACATACATATGAGACCCTCACATGCAGGAGAGGTTCAGGGAAAAAACAAAGGTACAATGAGGTACATGTGACAAACAGCCAAAGAGTGAGGTAAGGTGCCCTGAAGCTTCATAGAGGAGGAAAAATCTTCTCATATAGATAAGAACAGATATTTAGGAATTAGAACTTTCCTCCACCATATAGATAGGTCATAAAAAGTTATCTGTGGTCATAATCTTTATGAGTAAGACCCCTAATTTAAATTCTTTACAGGAGAGGTACGAGTTTCTCTTGAGTTCATGGGGTCTCAATTGCCTTCAACTCAAAATAATTCACATGCCAACACAGCTCATCTTGGGGAAACCTGTTCTGAACCTGTTTACTCTACATTTTTTCACTCTAACCTAGCATTTTTCTTTTTTCTTTTCTTTTTTTTTTTTTTTAATTTTTATTCCTAGCATTTTTCTTTATTCTAGGGGATTGTTCTTATCAGGATATCACTTCAATTTATACCTATATACTCATAGTTGCCACATCTCTCCTTTCCTCCACATGTGATTCAGAATCCGAGGAGCGTTATGTTCCAGGCGTCTTTTTCGACAGTTTCTACCTGTATCACTCAAGGCAAGTGGCAGTGTATAGGGTATGTGAAATTTGGCAGATGGAAAACTGTGGCCTCGGCTTTGCAACCCAGCATCAAGTGTTAGAAGACAAAAGACAGCAGAAGAAATTTAGGAAGATAGAACTTCGTTGTGCTCTTAGAAGGAGGACTTGTCAGGACTGTCATGTTCCTGTCTTGGTCCTTGGGTACAGTGCAATGTGGTGATATCAGCCTCTTTCCTAAGTGAGCTGCCCAGCAAGGCTGACTGTACTGAGGTAGTCCAAACCCTGCAGCACAAGATGAGTGATTTTCTGGTGAGTTAAAACCCTGTTTTCCCTTCAAGTTCTAAAGCAGCTTCATGGGTTTCACACCTTTTTTTCTCTTCATTGGTGCCCGTCTTCATTCTTGACCATGTTTCTCCAGCATAGTTTCCTTCATCCCTCTTTCGGGTCTCCATCCCCATTTTATACATTATGCCATTTCCTGTGAACCACTATTCCATCTGTGAATGCTCCTAAAGAGCTACTACTGACACTTATGTGTGGGGCTAAAACAAACAAACAAACAAAAAAAAAAACGAAACTTTTCCTTTCACTTTCTAAGTTCTAGCTGGGCTAATAAATTAATAGACAGATCAACAGGAGAAAATCAAATTTTTAATACACGCACATGGGAAATTCACATATTCATGAAAATTCCAAAGATGGTAAAGCAACATTGTATATATTTGACATTATGGCCAAAGAAGAAAAGGAAGGAGAATGGGTTTTAGATTTCAGAAGTGAGAATGGGAAATTTATAGGTAGGTGAAGAAGAGCAGAACACACATGGCAGGCAAATTCTTACGAAGCAACTCAGAAACCATGGGACCCAGGGGGCGGGGAGATGTATCTAGCTAACAGGTCTCAGCCTGAAGCCCTCTTATTTACCATACTTAATTCAATCTTAGGACATTGCTGAAGCCCTCTTATTTACCATACTTAATTCAAATTAAGCTAAGGCAATGTTCTAAGATTCCTTTCCTGGGGTAGGCCTTTCCATCCGAATCTCTTAGGCAGGGAAGGGGAGGGTTAAAGGTTTTTTCTAAATCTTTTGTTTCTGTATAAACAGCTCAAAATCAATATCCCAAAAAGGCAGGCTGGTAAAACTTTGGTTCCCCTCATATGTTTTCATGTGCTTCAGAGCTTCTGCTTGTTTTTCCCTTTGTGAACAGATACTGGTGGAGAATGGAACAAAACTGGGCACTGCCTTCTCATGGAAGCCAGGGACCTGGTCCTTAAGATAAGAGTCTTTCCTTTCTCCCTCTGCACCTCTCCCGCCCCCAACACACACACATACCATCACCTCTGTCACCAATTAGCGGTACTCCATCAAAAACTGAAGAGACTGTCATACAATGGTAAGGGTGACTCTAAGGATAGTAGACATGTAAAGTCATTATGATATAGGGTAGTGGTTGGCAAACTAGGGCCTGTGGATCAAATCCGGCCTGCCACCTGTGCTTGTATGAGCGAGGCTTATTTGAGTGTCTGTTGTGTATGGCTGTTTTCACACTACAAATGGCAGAGTCAAATAGCTGAGACAGAAATGAATTTTACCTACTCTGTGGGCCTTTAAAAAAAAAGGTTGCATCTCCTGATCTGGGACATTGCTGAGCCAAAAATTTTATCACTCTGGGACTGTATGAGTAAGTGTATAATCATAAATATAATTGTCCTGGGGTGGGATTTTTTGAGAGCGGAGTTGCTGACAAGGAGAGCACCATCCTACGTGCCAAGTTCCTGCCTTTCCTGCAGCAGAGAGAAAGTTCTTTGCTTGGAGTATTAGAGAAATCTCCAACTTAACTCAAAGAACATAGTTAATAATTACCAGAATTGAATGTTAAAGGAATCCTCAATTGACTGAGTGCAGAGATTGACTTGTGGGTATAGACTCCTCAGGCCCAGCTTAATTTTTTTGATTTTCTTTGCTTTCAAGGAAAAAGAAGTCACCTCTGGACCCTCAACCTGGTTTCGTCTTTGCCCCAGTGAGTATTACTTCTACCTTTCCCAGCTCGCAAAGATCTGAGCTCAACTGTAGCCAGGACAAGTGAGAGTGCAAAACTAAGCCACCCACCCTCCACTGCTTTTTGTCCCTATTTAATTTCTTAGTGGTTGCCCTGCTCTCCCTACTCCCTGCTCCTGCGCTCCCTTATCCCTAGCCCTTCCTGAACATTTAACTCTGTTTTTCAGTTTTATGATTCGTGGTTCTTTTATCTTACCTCATGTCTTTTATGTGTATTTACAGTATCCCCATGAACTTCCTTGTCCCCAGTTGACAGCCTCTAAGCCCCTGGCCTGTAGCTTTTCCCAGGCTTACCATCCCATCCCCTTCAGCTGGGTATGTACCCTGGGAATATTGTAGCAGGGAGAAAATAGCCTGAGAAAGCAGAATAGAAAAGAATCAGGTGGGAGGAGTTGAGAAATTAGAGAATAGCTTGGAAATTTTAGGGCCTGAGTGTGTGTGATGTAGAACATTAAAAGGGCTGCAAGAATTGGGGTCAGATTTTCTTTTTCCGGTATCTTTTTCCTCCACACAGTCTCTCTATCCTTATCTTAGAACAAGCAGCCAAAGGAGGAAAAGTTCTCAATGGTGATCCTTGCCCGGGGATCTCCAGAGGAGGCTCCTCTGCCCCT